TGCTATAAATGAGACAGCTGCTTCAGCTTTATGGCACTGTACCTCAGCTATCGTGGCCTAATGAAACAGCTAGTTTCTCGTGGTGGTCATCATTATCCCAATTAGACTTTTTCACCGCAACCGCTTCTTATCTTTTCCTCCTTCTCCGTTCCACTCTCTCGTTTTTTTCCTTGCTCAAGCTTCTCATTGCTTGTCATAACAGCCACTCATACTCATTTAACTGGAAAAGTACATGAAATATACTGCGTTTGCAGCAAGACAAATATCATTAAACAGAAACTTTCTGCAGTGAAAGAGTAATCTTTAAATCAGAAAAAAAAAGATGGTTTATCGTTTATTGTTTATTTGCTCTGCCTCAGATTACTCTATTTTTTTTTTTAACATCAATAAATACAACTAAGACATATAAACCAAGAAGAAAAACAGTAGAATAATATAGAAAATTACTGCTTTTTTCTATTTATTACTTTGTTTTTAGACAAGAAGATGGAAAAAATTGTTTTTTGTTTCAGAATCCGCATTCTGCACTGTAAGACTTATCGCCCTCGCCGTAGCAATTTTAAGGCAAAGTACCGCTCTGTACCAATATAATCACTCTAATTTGACACCATATAATGGGCAAATATAAAAAAGCAAAAAAAAAAAAAAAAACCGCACTTTAAAATTGAATGAATATTAAAAAAAGAATAACTTTAAAAGATTGATATTTTTTTTGATTAAAATTTCTCAGTGATTCTTCAAAAACTAAAAAATTTTGCTATTTTTTTATGCCTCTTCAAATGTCCAGACTTAAGGTACAGGCAACTAAAGCACTGAATGTATACTCGTTTATTTGATAATATTTACTTTTAATCATACATTTGATAAAGTAAATAGACAGAAAATCATATTCATTAAATAATTTTTTAAAAAAAGCTGTTTTTTATGCACTATTTGCAAATTTCAGTGATAAAATTTTAGAAGACAGTTCATATTTGATGTACTTGTTTAGTTCTGCAGAATTATTTTTCTTGAACTTTTTTATCCTTAGCTATTCATCTGTTATTGTTGTTATTTTATAAAACAAAAAAAATTTAAACAAATTTTTGTTAACAGATGTTCTGCAGTTTTTTCCGTCTAGAAAACTATCATTGGTTTACGTACTGAGCGACTGGTTTAAAGCAAAAAAAGAAAAGTGAAAAAAAAAGATCCTGTCTCCTGTTTGGCCATTTATCCTTCTCCGCAGTACTGTTAAAATAAAAATAATTAAAAAGAAATATACCAAAACGGAACTAAAACTATAAAATGGCTGATTGAAGAAGGCAACAAAGATATGGTATGATTTTTTGATGTTCAAATATAGAAACAGACGAATACAATTTGTCAGAAAATTACAGACATCCATAATGTTACAGCGAATTTCCATCATCGGAGAACTGTCAGACGAGTTGTTAAAATCAAGATGTTTTTTGGTGCTGAAAATTCTTCAAATAAGCAAATCAAAATTAGAAGTGCAAAGTATGTTGGTCAAAAATCTTTTTTTATAAGCTCTGTTTTGCTTCTGTAATGGAAGGCAACAGAATATGCAAATATAAGAAAATAAAGCTGGAAATAAAGGATGTGGAAATTCTAAGTTTAATTGTTACTGAAGTGGAACTGTCGGCGTCTGATGGTATCGTCGTTGAGCTGCATAGACAAGTTTTTCGACACCACAGTTGTCGGGTGGTTTTTGTGGTAGCGCAGTAGCCAACCCGTTTCCATTCAGAGCAACTTTTCTTCGGAAATCGATCAACTTCAATGCTGCACTCTACAAAAATAAGTAAGTGGCAATCAAAAAAGAAAAAGCAAAAAAAAGTTGCATTTTTTAAAATTATTTCAATTCCGTTCTTTTTTTTTTTTAGAAAATAAAAATGCTTTAATTTTTCACAAAAAAAAAAGCACAGTGAAAAAAGGTATATCATAAAATTTAGTTGATAACATTCTTTTCTTTCTCTTTCTCTGTTTTTTTTTTAGATTTTTAAGTTTTTTCTGTAACATTTTTTTTACCTGTTAGACAATGTTGTAAAAAGTTTGTTCTCAAAACTGAACAGTATAAGAAAAAAGAAAAAAAAAAAAAAAAAAGAAGAATAAAGAGCAAATAACTATTTCTCTTTTCCCCCCCTTCTCATTCATCAATATTAATATCACATAAGAAAAAATAAGTATAACGTGTAACAACTAATTTAAGATTTTAGAAGTTGTATACCATTCGCAAAATGCATTTAAAAAATATTGCTTCCAATGAAATACAGCACTAAAAAATCGTTGTTTATCAAAAACAAAAAAAAATTTTAAGACAACGTTTAGTGTGCTGCGAATGCAAAAAAAGTTTAAAATTCTAAGATACTAATAATTTTTAATGCCATTACTGTTATCTTTATTGTTCGAAAGCTAAGGTTAAAAATAAAGTGTCTGATTCGGTCTGTCTTCAAATATCTTACAAAAGTCAAACAAAAAAAAAAAAAACAGATGAAAAAGACAATCTGCTACGGTTGTTGAAGTAAACTAATTGCACAGATAACGTAAAATGTAATCTGGTAAAAGTAAAAAATTACAAACTAAATATTAATTTTACATTTCTAACAAAAAAAAAAAAAAAAAGAGTTCATCTACGTTTACACTTTTTTAATCATACAGTATTAGAAATGCTCAAAAACTTAGTCAAGATTACACAGAATAAATTGAGCAGTAATGATCACTCAATTAGTTAGTAAATAAATTTACATGAATAATACAATAAAAAGTGTTTGCAATCATTTGAAATTTAATCATTAAAATACAAAAACAGCTGCTGTATTCAATAATTTTGTGAATACTGACTGCGAACAGTTAAATTAATTAAGCTTAAAAAGTCTCAGATAAACACTTTAAATAAACACTTTAAATTCAACTTTTTTTTTTCTCCTTATCATATGTCAAACTGTCAAAAAGTTCAAAATTGTAATTATCTTCTTTTATAGCGCAGATGACCTTCAAAGACAAAGTACCAATCTGAAATCTTTTTACCTGGATTTTCCTATTAGGCGTGATTCTTATTAAATTTTAATCACTAATCTGTAAAACTAAAATAATTAACAACAGAACAAAGTAAATCTTATAAAAAACAACAAAAAAAAAACATCTAAACTTAAAAATTTGATATATTTAGTGGTTTATCAGTATAGTAATTTATTGAACAAACTGAGTATAAATTACGTTAAAAAATTTATAGAAACAAGCACTTGGAATAACTGTAGGTGAATCTTTAATATTTTCATGAGTTTACCTGTAATGATTCATAAAAAGTAGATTTGTTTTTAATTAGCCTATAATTAAGTCTTGTTACTTTTAAACAAACAGCATCATTGGTAGCATTCCAGAAACCCAACCACGTTTTTAAATTTTCCATCAAGGTTGATAAAACCTTGGACAGACAAATACTTCCACAGTTCTCCGTATTATACACGACAGTCAAACAATTACGGACATTGGTCAACAGTAATAAAAAATTAATAAAGCTAATATAATGAAATCTGGAAGTTAGAAGGCTTTATACAATTGTTCTAGAAAAGCAGAATATTTACTCTTACCTGCATGTTGTTTATTTGTTGTGCTTTTCGACTGAGTTTCGGCACCAGTAATAGCTGAAGTGATAGATTTTACAAAGTCCTCATTACCATTTTCAAATTCCACCTCGTTACCATTCCAAAAATCATTATTTGTTTTTTTTACAGAAGTATCCTTTTCTGTTTTATCATTTAACTGTTTAATCTGAACTTTTGATAGGTTGACAAAAAAATTTTTAAATTGAGTGCAAGGTACTTGTTGTTGATTTACTGGCAAACCGTTCATTAGTGTATATGTTTCACACAACAACACTTCTGTTCTACATGACCCGTCACAGTCTTTCAACAACCAAACTTTTTTACAGTTGAAGTTGTTAACGGAACCAAGCGGTTGACAGTCTACAACGCTTTCAGGAAAAATTCTTCTTTTGACTACTTTCTGATAAACATCCAGTGAACTTGGAACAGAAGCTTGATGAGTTGCGTAGTGATGGCCTTTTACATCGGTTTCGGGGGCAGTAAACAAATGACTTGCAGCTACACTTTCCTGTAACCTCTGATTGTGCTTCACATAGTTATCCATTCTTTTATTGCATATCAGGTTCCTAAGCGCAGGCCTTTTTAAATTAGAAAAGTTCTTCAGTCTATGACAAAAATAACGACGTTCATTTTCCGATATCGTCTGCTTGATTAACCGTTTAAGCATAGCAGTTTGCAGAAGCGCAACTTTAGCCGTCTGAAAAGACAAGAAAAAGAAATTATGGGGATTAGCGCCTAAGAAGATAAACTATTTGGTAATGTCAAGAACACTTTCAAATAAGCCAAACTGATTCAAAAAGGCTTGTTTTTAGAAAAAAAAAAGTAATAATTTGTACAATAATTGTTCAGCGAAAGAGCAAGAAGAAAACATTTTTTAATCTACTTTTCAGCATTGGGAGGTTTTGGCGAAAAGTATTTACCTTGAGTCTATGGCGGTTCAAGATGAAATTTACCAGCGTCTCCAACTGTTTTACTACATGGAGAATTCTTTGAGTAGCGTACGGCTTACGACGATGGTGATCAAAAGCTACCTGCTGCAGATTTGCAGTAGCTCTAGTTGTGAAAATCACATTTACAATTAGAAGAGATAAAAAGATTAAGAAGTTGTAGTTTCTGCATGGTAGCCTACAAGCTCCAACTTCTGCGTTTCGCGAGAATATAAACGCAATGATTCGAGGTGACATAAGAATGAATTTAAATTTTAAACCGACTCAAAACTCATAAAAATGGTCTCCCACTTTATTTTGCAAGAAGGAGAGGAGATTATCACAAATAGAAAATGACTAAAGAAAAAAACGTTTGACCGATGAGATGTATAATTAATGTGAAATTTTCCAGTGAAAATAACAATAATAAGGCCAAAAAAAAGTTTAATTTGGTATTCAACTATGACCATTACTCAATTTCAATCATTACTTGACAAGAGCAGTTTCTATTAAATTTTAAATAATTATTCAATTGTCATTACAATGCCGGATTCACTAGCGAGATTAGACAACTGCAGTAATGCGACAACTGCAAAGTAAAAAAATTAAGTCAATTTGAAAAATTCCGCAACTGTTTCAAAATAATAATTAGGACTTAATCTTTCTTCACAGGAACCTTTAAACTTTCAGTCACAAACTTTTACAACCAAAATTATTTAGCACTTCTCCACCTCAACAGCAAACCAGTCTCCATGGCACAAATCAGTGAGTTAGTCAACCAAAAAAAGTCAAGAAGAAATAACGAAGTAAAGCAGATGATGACCACTTACACCCTCACTTTGTTGTTAGCTAAGACAGTGCAGTACTCGGCTGGCTTACGCAGGCAACAGGCCGGAGTAATGCAGCATATTACAATGGTTCATTGACAGATACAACGCCTACAGGAGACTTTTCTGCACAATTTAAAGATTCTGACATACTTTGTCCTACATTACAAAGTTGAAAAATTATACCACTCCTCGACTTGTCATTTTCAACATCAATACAATCTGATTTGAATTCACATCCATAAACTTTCAAAGTAAACTCCAGTTTTCAATCCAATCTACGATTCACTTACCTGATCTACTCTCTACAGTCTGTCACTGCTTTGCACCATACATTTGTTAAATAATAAAGATACAAATTTTGTTAATTTTATTTTGCGTTAAACCACCAGACCCACTTCAAAACAGTTGTCAAAAATAATCTTCTCTTTCCAGTCCTTCATCACTAAAAAAACCCTAGTTAACTGGATATCTTACACATTCATCCGTTAAATAACTATTGGAGAGAACTCTAAAAGACAACTCTTTTTTTGCTCAATTTTTGATCACCCTTTCAAAATTGTTTGCTCGTTTGCAAAAGTTAACCTTATCTGAGGTACACACTAGGCTCGCACATCTTTTTATTGCTCCGATTGCTCCAGTATCAGAGCTTCGAGTAAATTTACCGAGCGCTCAAAACCAAAACACCAATAAAAGTCATCAAAATCCGCCATGATAAGCAAGTAATTACAAAAGTAAACGGTATAAGAAACAAAAAAATATCTAGAAAAGGACTAGATTTTTTCACTTCTTATTCCAAAATGATTTTAAAAGCAAAGTAGATACTGAGACAACTGTTCAGCAATAAAACTTTCTTTAATTTAATGCATTTATTTCCCGCTTACACACTTAACAATGTTCACTTAAAATCCATCAAAGTGAAAAACCTACTTTTCTAGCCAAAATTCAAACACTTTAGATTCAGGAATGAGAACAAATACCTGCCAATGATACAGAGAATTAATGAGCAACCAATCATCTTTTAGCTAATGCAAACAGTAACAAAAAAAATATAATCCATTGTATCCAAATACATACTTAGTTTATTCTGAGTCGAGAATTTCAAGTAAAGCCTAAAGTAAAATGCAAAGAAGAAAACGTACATTATGAAGCTGGTGCAGAAAAAGCATCAATATTTTACAAATAAGCAACTTTTACAGAATGATAGTATTTCAATTAACTAATTCGTCGAGCACTATTACTTCAGTAGTCATTAAAAAAATATATTTAAAAACTATTCTTAAGCTTTCTGCGTAACAAACAAAATATATCTTCCCAAATACTGTAAATCATGTGTTACCGCAAGAAATGAACGGGATCCTCATCGTCGCTAGAAACTTTCTTCAACATTTTAATATAATTTACCGGCACAAGCCCAATGCGCTTAGTCCTACCTGAGCTACAAAAATAGTTTTTCTTATTACAATACTCCATTATAACTAACAAAGATGAACAAATCCAAACCAAATAAATGAAAATATTAATTGAAGTCAGATCGTTCTACGTACTGAGCAAAATAGAGCTTACCTTCCTAAAACCCATCCTTTAACATTAGGCTGTTGGTATTTTGGGGCAATTCGCAGAACTTCCCCAGCGTGAAATGAAAGCTCTTGATCATAATGACTGTGAAAATCATATAACGCCTAAACAAATATTCATTAGACTACCCAACATTTCGTTTTTTCAAATCAAAAGTTTTCTCAATTACTAGAAGAGAAAGATCTAAAGTAACGAATCAGCAATTTTATTCTTTGTCGTATAACAAACTTCTGCACAGTAATGTTCAGCCTTCCCCGTAGACCACTTTCTCGACTCCTCATACGAATGTATTAAACTGCTTATGCTTCTGTATATAAGATATGGACCAGCAACCAAAAACAGCCAAAAAAGAACAGTTGCAGAACTAGACTGGCACTCAGTGTGTCGTTCTAAGTCTCTCGAGCGATCAGAGTTTGCTGATAAAAAGTTGCAAAGATAAATTTAAAAAAAAAAAATAAAGCGTGCAATATTAGAACAGTTAAATAACAGTTCAACTCCACTGTAAATCTGCATTAATCAAGATTTTCGAAGTCTACCACGTATGCTTGCATTTGTGTCTGACCAAGCCGTTTCAACACAGTCGAATTCCTGTTTCGAACGAAATATGTGGAGGAATTTTTGCCATAAAACGATAATCCATCGAAATAATGCTGACGAAGAGAGTGAGTAAATCTAAGAAACGAGAGGAACCAAGTGAAGAAGTGAAAGTCTGTAATTGCATTTTATCTGTGCAGTAAGATGCAGTTAAAAAAGTCACTGCTACCTAACATTAGGAAATTAATATCACTAACACAAAACTAAGAAGCACAGAGCTAAAACGAAAAGGTCCCAACTGTTTTTGATAATATTTTAAAAAATTAACAGTTGATGAAAAACAATGCTACCTGTGACTTCAGACGATTGTACTGATCTGCAAAGCCAATGACTGCAGCAATGGTACTATAGGCGGCATTTTGGATCGATGTGAGCATATTGGCTAGTGAAGTTACAGCTGTTACAAAGGACTCAAGGTTGTGGAAAGTCTCTGAAACGTCAAATATAGTGAAGAGTTTCTAAATGGCCTAGATCTCTGATTTTCTTTCATTACAAAAATACCTTTGAAGGGGTCGTACAGATTATTTATCAGATTGCTTGGGTACGGTAAGGGTCCAAAGTTACTGTAGTCTCGCTTAATTCCGTCACTGCAAAATCTACAACATAAAAATAATTCAACTTCCCCTTATAAAAAAAACTGTCCTAAGATGCTGGAATGAGCCAAATATAGAACTATCACAAACAAAAGAGATTTCCAATCGAACAATGAGTTCGGAAACAAAATTACAAATTTGCAGCTTACGCGTACTGACGAACAGCACAGTCACCCTGACTACCCGGCCCTGTACACGGACCACTGGCGTTCACATTCGGCAGTGAATAGGAACACCCTCCTTCTCCACCCAAGTAATGCCGAGGAGGGACTTGCGGCGGAATCTTCGGAAGATCACCCATCAATCACACCTTACAACAGTCTGTGCCCTATAGATGTTATTTAAATTAACGTTAAATGCAGGGCTAAAAGCAAGAAGTACCACTTACAGCACTACATCTACCTTCTGGAACTGAAGCACTTTTGAGGAAAAATATATCTTTTGATAATGAAACTTTTATTTCGTAATCTTCAAAAAAACGAACCTGACAAAAACTTCGATGTTTTCAGAGTAAAAACAAATATTTTAATACAGTAATAAGGTTAAAAAGTTAACAATTCAGATGTTGCATCAAATCATAGAAAAAAATTTTTTTCTCAATAATACACGAATTATAAAAAGTGACATAAATCATGTGTACAATTCAATCAGCCAAACGATAGACAAGCTAAAAACGACCCGTTAAAAAAAAGATCATACAAATAACATTCATACATCAAAAAAAAAAAACGTATGGAGACGAATATTTCTGAACAGTTATGGGCAAACGCCAAGCCTTTTAAAAAGAAGTGTCTATTTGCCTCTTCCACGATTTTGAGATGCTGGTCCTCCACGGCCACCGCGAGTACCAGGTCGACTACCCTGGGCAGCACCCCGACCAGCTCCCTGAGACCGCTTTGCCCTCTGTTGATCTTTTTGCTGTCGACGCACCTCTTTCACCTGTAAAATATACATTTTCAATGAGATGAATGACAACAAGAAGACTCTTAGATAACTAGATAAACATTTCAAAAATATAAACCTCCTCCTTAACAAGTTCTACGACGTCGTCTGGAATCCGAAGATACTTGATTGTAGAGCCTCGAACATAAACTTCTTGCATTTTCAAAAAACGATCACCATCCTAAGGTTTTAACAATAAATGAAAAATGAAAGAAGCGCTGTGATGCTATGAAGGGATGATTGAGAAAACATACTCTTGAAGTGCAAATGGCGTCTCTTAGATGTATATTCATCCAAGCATCACAGGATACTAAGTGTCCATTATACGTTTCGCCATTTTTCAATTCTACCAACATAGGATGATTTTGCGCTGTGCGTAGAAGAGAAAGCGGCAACTGGAAACTTCTTGTCAAAATCTACGTCGCATTAAAGTAATGATCAAAAAGCAGCGATACTAAATCCCGCAAAAAGAAAAAAATCAGGAACCTATCCA